GATAGTTTTGAAAAATAATTTATAACCTACTAGCCACATCAACTACCATTGTTATACTGGATTGGCTAGCCTTTCAATTGAACAGTTCGAAATGTCTTGTTAGCATTCGGCTGGCCTCCCATTCTCCAAAGAAAATGAATACCAAAATAAACAAAATGAAACCACAAAATGTAGATCCAAAGAGATCAAACATATGAAAAATCTACTTCCATAGGTCATGGAGAGAAGGTGGAGGCTGTAAGAGAAGTTTGTTAAAAGAAAATAAGTTATGTATGGTATCTTACATTCCAAGTTTCATTGGAAATAGCTTCGTTTTCAACTCATGTCCCAGCTAGTAAAAAATTATAGGAAATTCTCTAAAATAATACAGAATGAGAAAATAATGTGAAACAGGTATTTTATTGAAAGAAAATTATGAAAATAATCTCTATTTCACTATTTTTTTTTAAATACCAGCACTATTCTTCTAATTATTTTTAATTATAGTCTAATGGCAGATTGAATGCATACTAATGACAGACTGATTGGTTTTACAATTGAATGTAGACTATTGACAAATTAACAACAAACTAAATGTAAAAAAGTAGAAGACTAACGGCATATTAAAAGCACACTAGTAGACTTATTTTGTAATAAAATTGTCAAGTGAATCATTTTTAAAAATTATTCCAAATGTCAAATGACAAACATGAATGTTAGAAAATATTCAGAAAATGAGTAGAGTGAAAATCCCTAAGCTAGATCCAAAAACGATCATTACTTAACTCAACTCAGCTGTGGGGACTAATTTCTCAAAAATTAGGAGTTGCCCAGAATTAAGAGTTAGACAACTACGAATCAGATCATATTGTTCTGCAATAACATCAAATCATTTATAGAAGGGGGTCGGTTAACAATGATTAAATTTACATTTATTTTCGATCTCAGTGTAGGTGTAAGGTGAGTTCCTTTTCGTTAACCCTTTTGTTTATAGACTTTTGTGCTTAACAAAATATTGCAGCGACTTTCATCTGGTCCACGGAAAGGAAATCAATCAACTCAGCTCAACAAAATCGATTAATATATATAAGTTTTATGTTATTTTTTAAATTTCTTAGAATTCGTGCGGTTTCCACTTTTGCTTTGAATTCAATTCGACTTATTACAACATTTCCATCAGTTGTGTGGTGTCAAAGGGAGCAACACATCCAATTGATTAGAGAATTAAACAGCCAGTTGCCTAATCTCATCAGCCATCTTTGTAAAATCATCCCTGTGCAACCTATATCAACAAAAGAAAATGGAAACATTAAGAATAAGTAAGTTACAAAATTAAAACAAGCAAGAATCAAATAAAAAACAGCAAAACAAGCAAAGTTAAACCCCTTAAGACAAGCAAGAATCAAATAAAACCAGTAAAACTAGCAAGAATCAAATCTTATGAGCATCAATAAAATACCCAGGCCATCAAAAAAGTCAGAATAAAATAAAGATACTAACAACAAAAACAAACCCATTAAACTAGCAAAAGAATCAGACATTACTTTGACGTGAGGTTGGAATACCGTCTACTTGATAAACAAGATCCCAAAATCAAAACCCGTACGGCCGTACCAACCAAATCAACCTTTTGAATATAAACAACATAAAACTTCCCTTCACTTCAGAAACTCAATTTTAAATATACAAACACCACTTCGTAATAACCCTTGATAAACAAAGATCCCAAAAAGATAAAACTGAAGAAAGAGCTCTAACTTGATTCACACACGTCTGCCATGGAAACACCAGTTCAACTTTTGGATCACGACCATCCTTTTACACCTTCCTCAGGGTTTGCTTTCAGGTGTTATTGGTGCAAAAAGGGTGGATACATCAACAACGGCTACCATTGCACCGAATGTGACCTTTGGCTGCACAAGAATTGTGTAGCTGACAAATTTTCGTTTAAAATGAATCACACTTCTCATCCCGAACATTTTCTCTACCTAAGGCCCCTAGCTAGCTGGTTAATATATCAGTGTAACGTGTGTAAAAGACGCATCGATGATGATTGGGCTTATGACTGTACCATATGTGACGACTTCAGCCTACATGGGTCTTGTGCGAGAGAAGCACCACCGCTTACTATCAAACATCCTCAAGTTCATGAGCATCCACTTGCATTCTTCCCAGTTTCAAGAAACCCGCAGTGCCATTGTGAAGTCTGTAAAGAAAAGGTGGTTGGCAAATTAGCTTATAGATGTTTTAAATGCATGGTGTTCATCCACGTGGAATGTGCAAATTCACCAGAGGTAAACTATCTTTATCACCCTAAACACTCTCTAAAATTGCTCACATCTGGAGCACCTGATTACACGGATAATACATGTCTTCTGTGTGGTTTAAACTTGGAAGGCGTGCTTTATCATTGTTCCATATGTAACTTTAGCGTATGCTTGGGTTGTACAAGCATTCCACCACCTGTCGATGTGGAACATCTAAAAACTCATGAGCACAAACTCACACTCATGGCAAGACAAATCTCATTTACTTGCAATACTTGTGGGATGCAAGGTGATCGTAGCCCATATTTTTGTCTTCAGTGCGATTTTATGATTCACCGAAGTTGCATTGGAATACCCCGTGTTATAAATATTAATCGCCATGATCATCGCATCTCGCATACTCGACAACTCAGTTTTGGAGATTGGGTATGCAAGATTTGTCTCCAAAGTGTTAACCGGTTCTACGGAGCTTACTCTTGCTCGGTGTGCATTAACTATGTTGTTCATTCACAATGCGCAACAAGAAATGATGTATGGGATGGGAGAGAACTCGAAAGGATTCCAGAAGAAACTGAAGATATAACATCGTTCAAGAAGGTGGGTGATAACTTAATAAATCATATTAGTCATAAACAACATGATTTAAAACTCAGTAACAATGATAGTACTCATGGTGGAGACATTCATTGTGAAGCATGCATGCTTCCTGTATACTCTGATCCGGTCTATAGTTGCGAGCAATGTGATTTTAATCTCCATGATATATGCGCAAATCTTCCTCCAAAGAAACAACATATGTTTCACAACAAGCCATTTACGTTGCATGTTGGAGACATGGACTCCCCCAAGGTTCGTCCTTGTAGTGCTTGTGGAGAATTCTTCAGTGGTTTCAGGTATGAGTCAGATGATGTAATTCTAGACGTAAGATGCATTTCGATTTCGGAGTTGTTCTCCCATGAAAATCATGAACACCCCTTGCATTACAACAAAACATATATTGGAAAGTGTGATGCGTGTAACAGATCAGTAAAACCAGGAGCGTTTTCTTGTGAGCCATGTGACTATAACTTGGACTTTCAATGTGCAAGTTTGCCTAAAACAGTAAAGCACACATGGGATCAGCATCTGCTCTCCTTATCTTTCAAAACAAGTGCAAGTGAAAAATATTGGTGTGATACATGTGAAGAAGAGATAGATCAAAATATATGGTTATATACTTGCAATGATTGTGAGGTTGCTCTGCATGTTAAGTGCGTGCTTGGAGACTTCTCCCGTCTCAAACCAGGACGAGTAGTTGAACTCCGACAAGAAAGTTTTATAGTGATCCTTAACAATCATAGTTCTCGACCAGTCTGTAGTGGATGTGGACTCCGATGCAAGGCTACTTTCATTCTTAAGGCTTGTGATTCAGATATGTTTGTTTGTTCCCAAAGATGTTTCCACGTCTATGCACAGATTATGAGAGCTGCTCGGCTATTCAGGGAGGCTGGGGCGGGTTCACTTGCAGCTTAGGAGGTGAACTCCACTGTTAGAATTATCGATCATAATAAATCATAGTTTTTTAAATTAGTCAATTCTCTGTGATTAATAACAAATTATTAATAAATTTGCATTTGGCCGTTTCTATGTTAACAACAATAATGGTGTATTGTTTGGCGAGTTGTGTCTTTGGCTATGATCGAATTTGGTAATGAATGTAAATGCATTTTGTGTTTATTGAATCATGAGTTGTGATTGAAGCTTGATGTTTGTCGAGTTGTGGTTTTGGCTATCGGATTTGGTAATCAATAAAAATGCAGTGTGTTGGTTGAATCATGTGTTAGTTATACAATATCATTATAACAAGTTTGGTGATTGAAATGAGATAAAAAAAAAATCAGAAACATGTTATTGAAGAAAGATAAAAACTTGATTGAGAAAGAGCAATAACCAAAGATTTCATTTTGACTTATCCCAGAACAATAATACAACAATGTCAACAATACACCATCAAACGAAACAAAAAGCCATGTTCACTCACAAACCTGCAACAATGATCCCATAACAATAAAAAAACACCACACGTGGGAAAACAGTGGCATAACAACGAACCAACTTCACAAACCTGAAACCAAACAAAAACAAATGTCAACAATACACCATTAAACGTTTCAATTAACTTAGTTAGAACATCCAAACCGTTTCATAAAACCTAGTTAGAACATCCAAACCATGACTCCCAATCTTGAGCTTGTTTTTGCGATTCATGTGATTGTTTTTCTCCTTGATAAATGTTAGTTTATGTATTAATTAATACATATTGTCCCTTAGGGGATATCCGATAAAAAAAAAAGGTATTAATACATATTATATGTTGCATATTCTAAGTTTCTAACCAACAATTCAAAATGGTTAGATTGTTTATTTACATGTTTTTTATGGATATTCAGCCTAATTTCTCAAAAAAAATTCTTCACAACCTTCTGAGTTTATTTCGAACGAAAAAAACACTTCTGAATTTATCGTTATATTCTTTTTGATCTTTGAGTCTTTAAATTTCGTTATTTGCTGATGACAATTTAAAGCAGAAAAATATCCTCGGCTGAAGAGATGAGGTTTGAATGGATCATGTAATACCATTAAAAAAAAAATCAAAAACAAAAATCTGGCTCATGTAGTGAATGATTCCAAAACAAACAAAATGGAGTTTGGGTTGCAGTTCAGAGAAATATATTTATTTTGTTTGAAGAAACTGAGAGGATTTAGGGAAACAAAATGGGCTGCATCGGTCTAATCAATTTAACAAGCACCATTTTTTATCAGCCGGTGCTCACCAAAACAGTAAATAAACCCTTCAACTCAAGAGGACCATCCATGTCTACGATTCGAGCCGAGTCAATGGCTACTGAGAAATTAGGGATCACAATCGAGAAGAATCCACCCGAGTCCAAACTCACCCAACTCGGTGTTCGTAATTGGCCCAGGTACGTCCTTTTTCATCTCTCTAGCTCTCGAGTCGAACCCAAATAGTACACACAATCATCAAAGTTTTAGCCTTTTTGTTGCTTGGAGATGAAAGCCTTTAGCTTTTTTGGTTTGTCAGATTCGATTTCCATGGTATAAGTCATTTGCAATTAGCTCTGCTTCCTCTTTGGTCTCTTTGTTTCTCAATAACCCAAACAATTGTCAGTTTAAGCTCTGGTATCAAATCCATCTGTCGACATTCATCAACATCCATGAACTGATCTATGTAATGTATCCATCTGAAATTGAAAGCTTTAACCTTTTTCTTGCCCGAAGAATAAAAGTTTTAAGCTTTTGCTGTTGTTGTTACTGTGGATTTTCGTAATAATGCAAGCCAGATAGTTGCACTTTCTCAGTGTCGATTTTCATGGCCTAAGTCATTGGCAATTAGCTCTAGTTCCTCTTTGGTCTCTTAGTTTCTCAATAACTTAAACAATTGTCAATTAAAGCTCTGGATTCAAATCCATCTGTACTCATTCATCAGTATCCATCTGAAATTAGAAGTTTTAACCTTTTCCTTGCCCGGAGAAGACAGCTTTAAGCTTTTAATGATGTTTTTGTTCTTGTTGTCGATTTGCATAATAATGCCTTATGTAGAAGCATAACTCATTTGCAATTAGCTCTATTTTCTCTTTGGTCTCTTTATTTCCCAATAAGCCGAATAGTTGTTAATAAAACCTCTGGATTAAAATCCATTTGTAATCAATCATCAGTATCCATGAACTGATCTATGGATCCATTTGAAAGTAATAGTTCAAACCTTTTTCTTGCCCGGAGAAGAAAGGTTTAAGCTTTTTTCGTTGTTGTTGTTGTTGATAGCTGCAGTTTCTGAATGTCGTTTATCATTTGCAAGTGATGAAGTTTTCTTTTCTTTTGTGGGTGAAATGATGACACAGGTGGGGTTGTCCTCCAAGCAAGTTTCCATGGACTTACGATGCAAAGGAGAGTTGTTATCTTCTTGATGGGAAAGTGAAAGTGACTCCTGATGGATCCGATGAAGGCGTAGAGATCGAAGCAGGCGACTTTGTTGTCTTCCCTAAAGGAATGAGTTGCACTTGGGATGTATCCGTTGCTGTTGATAAACACTATCAATTCGAGTGAATGGCTCTTAATCTCCGCTCTGCATATCGGTGATGTATTTCGATATTGCTTCACTATCGTTGTATGTTGATTGATACTTTAGTTTTGTATGTCATGTATCAGTCTATGCATGGATTCCGTAGCGATGTCTAAGTGATTTCTCGTTATGTAATGTGTTGCTGCTCTTTGCTTCCCGTGCAATCCTCATCAACCAGATTTAGGTTGCAGCCTCAAGGATTCATTGGTTTAACTGTTGGTTCGAAGTATTTGGGTATGAATCTAGCTGTCAAGAGTAATGAAAGATTTAACGAATTCACTAGATTTATTGGGTATGAATCTAGCTGTCAAGAACTTTTAGAAGTTGTAAAAGGGTTTCTTGTTGATCAAGGTCACACGGCATGAACCTTATAAAACACTTTACACATTATGACCTAATTGCTATTAACACAATGCCTAATTACACGGCCCAATACTAACTAATCTAAGTTTAAGTTTTTATCATGCCAATTCACTGAAACCATTATCTTGAAGAATTGTACACATCAAAGTTTAATTATAGATAAGAAGAAACTATAATGTTGCATAGTTTGGTGAGTTTGAAGAAAACAGTAAGTGGATGAAGAACGTATCAATCCGATTTGTACCACTAATCCCCAAGTTAGTGGGAAAAGACAAAGAACAATTTACAATGTGGTATGCTCTTATCTTCAAGTTCTATTTAGTGTTAGAGACATGATATGATGCTGCTGGGCCCTAATTTATCTTATATATATCAGTTTATCATGTAAATCTTGAACGTGTTTAGTGTTTTTGTACTGTTAAAGATAAAATACTTTGATTAGTTTAATAATAGCACTGTTTATACGCGTCTAAAGGCAAACATAAAATATACTTTATATTATCTTATGACATTATTAAACTTTTCCTTCTGAATAAAAATTGTTTGTTTAAAAAGCGTTTGCAAAAGCAGCCAATCACAGTAAAATTAATTTGTTTATAGAGTATTGTTAATGTAGAACTGAATATCTATAATTTTGCATGCATATGATGATGTTTGTTTTGAAACGCAGTTTAAACTTTGAAGTCATAATTCTAAATTTAAAGATACGTATACTAAATACAAACAATTACGAAGTTAAAGCAAATTGGAACTAAATGAATCTGTTATACTTCTTATTAATGTAAAGAAGTGTTATTAAATCAATAGTTATATACTAATAAGTACTCATAAATACTATTTTAGTTGATGTGGAATAAAATAAGGTGATCAACTCCTCCAACAAGTTGGAGAAAACATGACATTTGTTATGGAATTCAGGCTCGGCCAAAAGAATATACGTTTCAGCAACGTTTAGAAAAACCAGCATTTATTCAGTTTTGAGGATCACCAACTTTTCATCTTTATGATAATAGTTATACTTTTTAGGGTTACCAAATTTTTTTTTTTTTTTACCATTTTCTTTTTACTTTTGGACGAATACCAAAAATTGTTTTACAAAATATTTTAGTCTAATTTTATATATAATTTAAAATTTGAATATTAAAATATACAAATAATTACATATATCTTAAAGTTAACATCTTAATCAGTTTGAAGCGATATGTCTCAAAGTCAAGACATGCAATCAGTCTATACTCTTCCATAAATTTTACCCCTTACGAACACGGTCTTAGGCTTTTCGAAAAACCATCCACTATACACCTAATTCTTAAAACTTACTTCTTATAGACGTTGAGTGGGAAGAATCAGAGATTCGTTCTAGGACTTATATGCACTTGTTAGGACTTTGGTGATATATAGTCTGTTTTAGTTCGGATGCTTAAACCAAGACTGGTAATGTTTCATTGAGTATTTCGGTTTAGTTTTATTCATGATTTACGGTTAATAGTTTACACGGACTCTTCTTTGTAATTGACCTAGATAAATAGTCGAGGCGTATGTGCCGCTCTCTCTTGAGGTCTGGAGCTTAGAGTTGATTGAGAGAAAAAAGAGAAAGTTGTAATTAAAGTTTGTGATTGAGCTTGTGTGCACCAGGCCGAGACGTAGGGTATTATCTCACATCGAGAGCCCGAACTCGTAAATCTATGTGTCGTCTTCTTCTTCTTCTCTTTTTAACTCCTTGTTACTCTGTTTTCTTGTCAAACACTTCTCCTTCTTCATACAAAGTTCCGCAGGTCATTGGTTCAGCTCGAATCCAGGTTTTGGATTGGAACGATTTCACTACAATTGGTATCAGAGCCATGGCTCTATGAGTAAATCAATGGGGAAGGTTGCTCGTGGAAGATCAGAGAATAGGGAATCAAGAAATCGTAAAGGAAAAAGCAGATCAAGATCCGGTTCAGGGTCTAGAATCACTTACTGGTATTGCAAGAAGGAAGACCACAAGAAAGCTGACTGTTATGCCCGAAAGAAGAAGATGGAGGGTGATGAGGATGCTGAAGCAGCTGTTATCATTGATCCATTGGAAGAAAATGATACATTGACGGTTTCAGATAAATGGCATCAAGATCAATGGGTTATTGATGCAGGATGCTCATATCATATGACCTCAAGGAGAGAGTGGTTCACAACGTTTGAAGAACTCACTTCAGGACAAATTCTTCTTGGTGATGATTACTCAGTTGAAGTTCAAGGAATAGGATCGATTAACATCAAAGTCTATGGAGGAACAGTCAAGACTCAAACCAATGTCAGACACATTCATAAACTAAGAGGAATCTCATATCATCTAGAACACTGGATAGATTAGGCTTTGGCCATGCTGGTGGAAGTGGAAAACGAGATTCTATACAAACGGCAAGTTAGCGTTACAAGGAAATTTAGCTGGAACTTTATATTTTCTAGATGGTGAAACTGTAACAGGTCATGTGAATAGCAACGTCTCAAAGGAGAAATCAAAAGATGAAACAGTCCTATGGCACAAACGTCTCGGACACATGAGCCTAAAGAATCTACAAATATTGTTAAAGAAGGGGATCATCGATAAGAGAAGAATTAGTGATCTAAGTTTCTGTGAAAGCTTTGTTATGGGAAAACACAAGAAGCTGAGCTTTCACATTGCAAAGCATGATTCAGGTGAAGCTCTCAAATATGTCCACTCAGATCTATGGGGTTCCCCTAGTGTTACTCCAAGCTTGTCGCATAAGCAATACTTTCTATCTATCATTGATGACTTTACAAGGAAGGTATGGGTATTCTTTCTATCAACAAAGAATGAAGCATTTCCAAAGTTCTGTGAATGGAAAAATCTGGTGGAAATTCAGATAAACAAAAGGGTCAAATGTCTGCGAACAGATAACGGACTAGAGTTTTGCAACTTGGAGTTTGATGGCTTCTGCAAAAATCATGGCATTGAGAGACACAGAACATGCACCTACACACCACAACAAAATGGAGTAGCAGAACGCATGAATAGAACAATAATGGAAAAGGTGAGGTGCATTCTAGATTAATCTGGTCTAGAAGAAGCTTTCTGTGCTGAAGCAGTATCTACTGCAGTTTATCAAATAAACAGGAGTCCCTCCTCAGCCATCGACATGAATATACCAGAAGAGCTGTGGCTAGGAAAGAAGCCATGATACAATCATCTCAGAAGATTTGGCTCGTTGGTATATGTACACGTTGATCAAGGGAAGCTGAAGCCTAGAGATGCAAAGGGAATCTTTGTGAGCTATCCTATGGGTGTGAAAGGTTACAAAGTATGACTCATTGACGAGGAAAGATGTGTAATCAGCAGAAATGTGAAGTTTGTGGAAGACAAGGTCTACAAGGATCTAAAAGCTGAACGAGTTACACAAGATAGCGAGACTGACACAGGAGAAAAGGTTAGAGGAAATACCATTCTTATAACCAGTGTCAAGTCTAAAGAAGATAAACCTGACACCTCTCCAGGTGGAGCGACTACAGAAAATCATGAGCATGAGAGTGATACAGAATATGTAGAAGAAAAAGAACAACAATTTGATGATACAGTGCAAGAAGAAAACCACGACAGTCATCATATTGCAAGAGACAGACCAAGGAGAGAACCAGAGCTTCCATCAAGATTCAACGATTACGATATGTCAGCCTTTGCTTTGATGGCAGCAGCAGACGTGAGTCTAGAGGAACCTAGAGACTATCAAGAAGCTATCAGAAGTATAGACAAAGACTTGTGGAATGGCAGCATGTATGAAGAGATGAGTTTACTTGAAAAGAATAGAACTTGGAAGCTAGTCAAATGACCAGAAAAACGAAAGGTGATAGGATGCAAGTGGGTATACAGATTGAAGTCTGGGATACCAATAGTAGAGAAACCAAGGCACAAAGAAAGATTAGTTGCGAAAGGGTATTCTCAAAAGGAAGGAATTGATTATCAAGAAGTGTTCTCACCAGTTGTGAAACACGTTTCAATCAGATTTATTCTATCCATCACAGTGAATCTGGACTTGGAGCTAGAACAACTTGATGTAAAGACAGCTTTTCTGTATGTAATCATAGAAGAAGAGATCTATATGGAACAACCAGAGGGCTATGTAGCTAAAGAAAAGGAAAAGCTTGTATGTCTCTTAGAGAAAGCCTTGTACGGACTCAAGCAAGCACCAAGACAATGGAACAAGTGCTTTGATCAGTTTGTAATCAGCCAAGGGTTCAAGAAGAGTGAGCATGATCATTGTGTTTACATAAAAGAAGCAAGCAAGGATGTGTTCGTCTACTTACTCCTTTATGTAGACGATATGTTGCTAGCTTCAAAGGACATGAAGGAGATACAAAAGGTGAAGAACTTGATGAGTAGTAAGTTCAAAATGAAAGACTTAGGTCCGGCTAGACAAATTATGGGTATGGATATAGAAAGGGATCGAAAAGGTGGAGTTCTTACTCTGTCCCAGTCAAGCTATGTCAAGAAAATACTTCAGGTACTCAATATGGACGAATCTAAGGCAGTATCAACTCCCATTGGCTCTCACTTCAAGTTATCGGCACTAAAGGATGGTGAAGAGAACTCTATAGCAGAAGATGTGCCGTACGCTAATGCGATTGG